CTAATATTAATATTATCTGGTCTAATATTAATATTATCTTGTGTAATATTAATATCAATATTATCTGGTCTAATATTAATATTATCTGGCCTAATATTAATATTATCTGGTCTAATATTAATATTATCTTGTCTAATACTAATATTAATATTATCTGGTCTGATATTAATATTAATATTATCTGGTCTAATTATTAATATGCAGTGTAAATGAGGAGATTAAGGAATCAATGCAGCTGGGGAAGTAAAGGTGGACGACAGAGAAGCTGTTGGAGCTGATTAAAGGTAGAACAAACAAATCTAAGAGCAAACACTCAGGTTTGTCTGGAATTATAACGAGTTTATTCTTCAATAAGACCAATCATATTTAAAGCTTATCTGAGTGAACTGAGTGCAGATTTAAAGGTTGCTGTGTTGATGAATGTTGAACTCTGAAATGGGACTGGTTTCTTTTTCAGCTCTGCAGTGCTGAGGGGAATGCCAGCATGTCGAGCTGCACACGTGTAGAAAGAGGAGGAGCAACGAGGAAGTCTGGACAGATGAAGACATTTGAGTCTTTTTGTTTTCAGATCCCCCTCCTGTCTGAACCAAGCTGAGGTGGGCACGTCCTCCACCCTGTCAGCTTCAAGAGGAACGGAAGCACAGAGGATTCTCCATCGTTGGCCTCCGACTTGTTTTTATCTCTGATGGCAGCGGGGCTCCGTGCGCCAACCGGCGAGGCCGTGCGGCCGGTCCGTCCCCCGGTCACCGGTGTTTGCTCTGAGCCATGAAGAGCAGAACCTTCCGGATGCCGCTGAGGCGGTCCTTCAGGGAGGTGAGGGCCAGGAAGGGTAGCTGGGCCCGGCCCTCCAGAGGAAGAACGGCGAGTAGCCACCAACACCACGAGGGACCGTTGGGACTGGCCTGTAAGGACACAGAGACAAACGTCAGTGTTGGATCAGAAAACATCTGCTGCTCAGAACCAGAATCACCAGATTTAGTTGTTGCAGTTAACACTTTAGTTTCTGGTTCAGCTTGTTGATTAAACTGAATCCTACAGGTCCTTTCACTTAGACCAGGGCTTCTTAAGCTTTTTGACCTCGGGGCCCAGTTTATTGAACATAAAGTGACACGAGGCCCAGTCAGACATTACCATGTATGGATCAAAATGATAATTATTCTAAATCTTGGTTTAATTTGTGTTGTATTTACATCATAACTAAATTAAATACACTTACAGTTTAAAAGTAAAACTCCTGTCAAATAATCACAAGACATGATCATGACAAACATTTTTATATTGTAACCTGGCCATAACAATTATTTGAACAAATACAAAGGTCAGTCAACAGACCACTCAGGCTTATCAAAAAAAATTATATCCACACTTGTTATATATATAACA